TCTCATCTTCCAGCTCCCCAGATACTCCGCGTACTAAAGTTGTACTAGAAAGTCGCCAGTTCTCATCTTCCAGCTCTCCAGATACTCCGCGTACTAAAGTTGTACTACAAAGTCGCCAGTTCTCAGCTTCCAGCTCCACAGATTGCTCCGCGTACTACAGTTGTACTACCAAGTCGCCAGTTCTCATCTTCCAGCTCCCCAGATACTCCGCGTACTAAAGTAGTACTAGAAAGTCGCCAGTGCCTGCACTTCGCGCACTCGACGCGCGCAATCTCCGCAGAGGGTTGCGCGCCACCGGACAAATCGCACTCTCGCCTGCATTTCGCGCACTCGACACGCACGATCTCCGCAGAGGGTTGCGCGGGCGCCGGACGAATCGCACTCTCGACGAATCGCACTCTCGCCTGCGTTTCGCGCACTCGACACGCACGATCTCCGCAGAGGGTTGCGCGGGCACCGGACGAATCGCACTCTCGCCTGCGTTTCGCGCGCTCGACACGCACGATCTCCGCAGATGGTTGCGCGCGGACCGGACAAATCGCACTCTGGCCTGCATGTCGCGCAATCGACACGCACGATCTCCGCAGAGGGCTGCATTTTCGGTTGACGCTGTTCGTCCCACCCTCCGCCTTTAAGAGAGAATTTATAAAGTGGGGAAATGTTTTTTCATTAGGACATCTCCCGTGCTAGTTTTCCATACTCACACTTGCCTACTCATTGCATGCTTGCATACTCATTGCATGCTTGCATACTCATTGCATGCTTGCATACTCATCATTGCACTTGCATCATTACACTTGCATACTTACACTTGCATACTTACACGCGCATTACACTTGCATACTTTGACACTTGCATACTCTGCACTTGGATGCTTTCGCTCTTCCACTTACACTGGGGTACGTATAGCGTTCATGTTGTCGTGCAAGTGTGGTGGAAGTGTCAGTGTGTAAGTGTCGAAGTGTCAGTGTTCAAGGGATTTTCCGGAAGAACCCTTCGCAATGCTTTCGGGAAAAGCATCAGAAAAGATCTAAAAAAAAGGAAGTCAGGTAGGGCACCAGGAAATTACAGCAGAAATGAGGTTTTTTGGAAATCCTTTTGCTCAAGGTTAGGCGCCAGGATTCCAAAAACACGTTAGAGTACAGGATTTCACTAAAGCTGTAGGATTTCACAAGGTAGAGATACTGGGGTTGGGCTAGGATTTTTATGGATTTTAGAGATATTGGAGAGGACGCTTTTCGTGGACAGTTTTTGTCAACCTTTTGCTGTACCCCAGCTCCGAAACGCACAGAGAAGCGGCACAATGCAACCAAACTCTCAAGCGCAACGACACCCAGCAGCTGGACCAGCACCTACGCTCCAATGCGCACACGCCCACGCTTTTTGCAGCCTGGAAGCTTGTATCCATCGAAAAAAGATATCCAGGGGCCCAGGGGGGATTCGAACCACAACGTCACCGAATCGCCTAGTGGTACGTCGCTCGAAGTTGTCCGAAAATTTAATGGGTTCGGAAGGCACAAAGCCTCCAAATTTCCAAGAAATTTCGTTGCAAAACCTACAATTTCCGGAAGAATTTCGGGAAAATTTTGAGTCTTCGGTCATGTTGATTTTCTCTTACCTTTGTCCCGAAGCCCGGCGCACAATTTTAAACGGTCACGTAGGGGGTTTTGTTTTATGTAATATAAGTGTGTGTCGTCAATTCCATTCATTGCAGCATTTGCTCACAGATCTTACAGTATTTGCTCGGCTGATAGATACACACGCTGTATATACAACATAAGATTGCAATCACTTTAATTAATTAATTGGGGGTTGCGTATGGGGCCATGTAATCAATCAATTCAAATGTAAACAATTTACAGGCACATTTTTCCTGTGGTAGCTGACAGAGAATTCGGGGACCAGCTAGGGTATAGATACCCAGGATTTAATTAAGGATTTGATCAGCCCGGACTCCTTGTTTCTTCCTTGGTTCCCAACCCTCTGACACACGTTGGTCCAAAGGATTTTTCTCAAAACAACTCTTGAGAATAAAACCCTAGGGCACCACTGAAAAACTAGACAGTTACTTTGGTTCGGTAGGATTTTAATACGTAAAATCCTGGGGATCTACCTTAGCTGTCGGACCAAGGGAAAATTTTGACCCACAGCCAAAAGAAAAGTGATTTCCCAAGTTAAAGGCCCTGCTTCTCTTCCACTGACTCCCTTGTTCCAAGCGTTCATGCCAGGCAGCTATTCCTCAAGAGCCTCAGCTCCTTCCGTTCAGGCGGCAACTTGCAACACTTCGAGATTCAGCACTTGTTCTCAACACCAAACGTCCTTGCTTCTGAGGGAGTACTACGCCTCCCATGTGCGCTCCCTTGCGCCCAGTGATCTGGAGGACCACGCTTGATTTACTTGATAACAGCAAGCACGCTCAAAACACGAGCTGTTGCCAGAATCTGTACGCGAAGTTCCCTGGGCAGCCAAAACCAGTGGCTAAACCAGCGGCTGAGTCTTCGCAAGCAATGGCCTCAGTCTTGTCTGTCTGACAATGCAACTTTGGAATTGGTAGAACTGCATGTCATATGAGGCGAGTGTACCGCACTGGCCTGAAAGCAGAAAGACATACTGTATCACATTGTATCACAAAAGAAGCAAACCATGAGACCCGCACAGAGGCATGTCATGTCGGCTTTGTTTGGAACGTTCTTCTTTGCTAAGGTTTGCCATGCGCCCCTCAGTGGGCACCTGGTTGAACAAGGTGGTCAGGGTAAATGCAGCAGCAAAGGGCACTGGTGATAAAAGCGGACACATACGTGGAACGCATTGGAATGCGGTATCGCTTTGTCTCCCAGTGCTTAGTGTCATGTCCAAATAGATGTGTTTCACAATTATTGTGGGTGTTCGGAAGCGCAATTGTTTCCAAGCTGATCGACGCGTATATATGCATATATACATGAACACATGATTACATGTGTGTATATGATATGGGATACTGTTTCCGGGCTGGAAATTCGTAGCGAACCAAAGTTTTCGATTGATCCACCACTGCTGCTGGATAGGTCCAACTCGAGTTTTCGAGATCTTTACATTGTCCTGGTCTGAACGGAACTGTAAAGGATGTTTGTCAACGGCTTCCCGACTTTCTCAACCAGAACATTTTTGCAGCAAGTGCATTGGATAGCGATGGACAATTGAACAATCCACCTTCACGCAAATAGACAAACTTAAACCAAGCAAATGACGGGGATTGGAGGCTCCGATGAAGGAAGCTTTGCCTGTTTCTAAACCAGCGGCTGAGTCTTCGCAAGCAATGGCCTCGGTCTTGGCTGATGCTTCTGACAATGCAACTTTGGAATTGGTAAAACTGCATGTCATATGAGGCGAGTGTACCGCACTGGCCTGAAAGCAGAAAGACATACTGTATCACATTGTATCACAAAAGAAGCAAACCATGAGACCCGCACAGAGGCATGTCATGTCGGCTTTGTTTGGAACGATCTTCTTTGCTAAGGTTTGCCATGCGCCCCTCAGTGGGCACCTGGTTGAACAAAGCCCCCAAGAAGGGAAGTGTGGAACCAGTGTCCACCTCCAAGCCTTCTCCGTCCATTGACGCGCCATTCAGGCCAGTTGACCCTCGCAATGAGTTTTCTCTACGTGTACAGAGGAGTGTAGAACATGTCGATTGTTGCCGCAGGGACTACTATGCCGCACATGTGCACTCCCCTCCAGACCTGCAGGCCATTTTCTGCTGGCACGAGATAGGGTTGCACTAGAAGCTGAAGCTTTATTGTTGTGAAATCATGTAAAAACTTGACTTGCTTGCCGCAGACTTTGTACGCGAAGTTCCCTGCTCCAAGCCCGCCCAAAGTGCCGCAGAAGCCAACAGAATCTCAGGCTTTGCAAAGTGTTTTGTTTCAAGTTTCACAAACACTTTTGTTGAGACAGAACCCAGTTTTGTGTAGAGCCCCGCACCGGCGACCGCATTGCACCTGCGCATCCACACATGGGCACAGATACAAACGTTGCATGCCTTCGACGGGTGTTTCCTTTTGGACACTGCTTGAATACAAATATATACAGTTGATTACATGACAAGCTGAAGCTGATTTGGATCTGGGTCAAGACAACGCCTCCATTTCCATAATGTTGGGTGAACATCCCCAAATACTCAACTGGACGTTGTTGATCTTTGACACACTTAGGCTCAGAAATATGGTTAGTTATTCACATGTTTTGATCCAAGTCCATTGCGGCTTATCACTGCTTTGGTTTTGGCCACAACAGAAGTTTGAAACGCCGAGTTGTCAAGGCAAAGCCCATGAAAGAAATTCCGGTTTCTCAAGCTCCAGAAATGCTTCCTTTCAGGCCAGATTGCCACCTGAAAGATGATTTAGTCATGCAAAGTGAGTGCAGCATTGTGAGGGAGTACTACGCCTCCCATGTGCGCTCCCTTGCGCCCAGTGATCTGGAGGACCACGCTTGATTTACTTGATAACAGCAAGCACGCTCAAAACACGAGCTGTTGTCAGAATCTGTACGCGAAGTTCCCTGGGCAGCCAAAACCAGTGGCTAAACCAGCGGCTGAGTCTTCGCAAGCAATGGCCTCAGTCTTGTCTGATGCTTCTGACACTGCAACTTTGGAATTGGTAAAACTGCATGTCATATGAGGCGAGTGTACCGCACTGGCCTGAAAGCAGAAAGACATACTGTATCACATTGTATCACAAAAGAAGCACACCATGAGACCCGCACAGAGGCATGTCATGTCGGCTTTGTTTGGAACGTTCTTCTTTGCTAAGGTTTGCCATGCGCCCCTCAGTGGGCACCTGGTTGAACAAAGCCCCCAAGAAGGGAAGTGCGGAACCAGTGTCCACCTCCAAGCCTTCTCCGTCCATTGACGCGCCATTCAGGCTAGTTGCGCCTCGCAATGAGTTTTCTCTACGTGTACAGAGGAGTGTAGAACATGTCGATTGTTGCCGCAGGGACTACTATGCCGCACATGTGCACTCCCCTCCAGACCTGCAGGCCATTACCTGCTGGTTTGCATGGTAGCTGGTATCCCGGCAATATCATGAGAACATGTATGGGTCAACGACGGGTAGTTCTTTTCAAAACGATTATATAAGACAGTGTAGATTGGTTGGAGTCTCCGCTTGAGGCGTCCAACCCATTAATACTGAAAAAAAGTAGATGGATGATGGGGGAAGTGTGGGTTTTCTTGTACTTTGGTCACATTTAATGGTGCTTTGCAACATGCCGAGGAGAAGAGGGGCATCAGGTAAGAAGAACCATGTTCATTAATGAGCCTTTCGGTGTACAAGTACCATTCCTATTTGCAACATCCGTTATGATGCCTTTGGCATCCTTGACTTTCAAAGAGTGTTTCCCCAATGGAGTTTGGTTTTGCGTGTGCTTGTTGTTTTAAGTGTGAGGGGGATGTTTGATCCAGAAGCAAGAGACTCGCTTGAGAAAGGGAAGCTCAATCGCTTTCAATTACAGAGGTCAGGATATGAAGGAGAGGTTCCAGAGGGAAAAACGAGGTTTGACTAAGATTGAACAGGTGGACTGAGGAATAAGAGTGCAGAAGTGCAGAATAAGAAGAGGTTGGTTTGGCGAAAAATGATGAACAAGGTTTAAGGTAGGGAGGAACATCTTGAGCACAGGCCGGTGTGTAGGAGTCAGTTAGGAGTCGGTATGTATAATGGGTTTTAGGCATGCTTTCCATGCACTCTGGCCTGCAAGCCTCCATCATGGTTCAAGTGTGTTTTGTTTGGCGCGGAACTTTGTCTTGTACTGTGCCAACGCTTCTCATGAAACGGTTTCTGGAGTCTTGCTTGAGCCGGGACAGGCATTGTACAAGAAGTTCCCAGCTGCACCCAAGCCGGCTTCAACATCCCCAGTGCCAGTGCCTGTCAGAGACTTGAACAGATTTTCTTTCCAATACCATTGAAACACGTGAGCCAAGAACCGGAACCGCGACCAAGGCATCGGTCCCCGTGCCACCAACGATGCCTGCAGCCCAGAGATAGCCAAGAAGTGCCGCAGGACTGGCAAGTTCTGCAGGTTTCAGCACAAGCCTTCCGTGGCCACCTGGCTGAGCCCAGTGATCCCAAAGGCCTTAGATTTCACACACACGCCAGAGAACGAAGCGTCATAAGCTTGCAGGTTCTGTTGGGTTCTGTGTATGTTTTCCTCTGTGGCTGTTGCAAAGTATTGAATGCGTTTGAGTAGGAACATACATACGTGTTTCTTTTACAAAAGCAAACAACTGACTCAAAGCTTGTACTCCCATGCTATTTGGCGTACTTCCTGTGGCGAGGCCAACGCGGCGTGGCACTTAAGTTGCGACAAGAGACTGAACATGGTTTCTCGCTGCTACGAATGCCATGCTTTCGTCCGTTTCCATTGGGATTTGAATGTATGGAAGTTATGGTGATGTCGCGTTTGGTTGGGGAGAAGCCTATAATTTGTGTTTTGAAGATTTTTGAAGGGTGTTTCCTGCAACTGTGGTGGAGGTGGAAGGGGATGTGCCAGTGGTGCATCAAAAAGACACATTTAAGCAGCATAGACCCCAGAGAGCAACCTGAGACAAAATCCAATGAGAAGCAAACCCAGAGAAGTGGGGAGACAAGTTTCAGAGACAAGGCAGCAGCGGCAAACAAAACGTCGATCGCACCAGCAAATAAAAGGTAAAGGTCTTCATTCTGAGGGCTTTCCTTGCTGGCAAGGGTCCTGACCTCGTTCACCCTCTTGTTCACCCTCTCGTTCACCCTCTTTCCGATACCTCTTTGCAACTTGTGTGATTTTCAGTAAAGTGTCCACAGCCTGGTCCAAAGAGATGTGAAGGGATCACAAGGAGTTATTGCTAAACCATGGCGCTTCCTTGCAAGAAGCTTGTTGAATACACGACAATGGTGATAATGAAGGAATTTCAGAACACATCAAAAACCTTCGCAAATGATTGCGTTTTCATGCGAGGAGCTGGTTTTTGCAAGGACTACGCCGGGACCCCCCTCCTGGCGTCGCGTTTCCATTGGGGAACTCAAACTTTTCCCTACTATTCCGTGACTTGCGCGGCTGGGTGTAACAATTGAATTGGACAGAGAAAGGGCGCGGGAACTGCAGGTCTTTATTCAAATCTCCATACATCTACACATGCTGCATGCTACAGAGAACATGAGCATCGAAAAATATTCTTTCTTGATTGAAAGTCGCTTATTGCCTGCGTTCCAAAAAACTGCCCTGGAAACTGATAGGGGATGCCTTTGGCATTGAGAACACGCAGACGTTTTGTCCGCCACTCATGAGATACTGGATACCTTGTGTATATGGACGTGATTGCTGTCCGACAGCCAAAGCATGAATTTGCTGGGAGGTCAGCTCTTGTTTGGAGGCTCCCAATCAATCACATAATAGCGAGGATTTGGGGCCAAGTCCCTCCAGAAACCAGAAAGCAGCAAAGATCAGCAAAGCATGGTTTGCACGCACAGTTTCACCCATCGCTACTAGGTTGGAGGCCATCGCTCTTAGGTGGAGGCCATATAGCTATTAAGTGGAGGCCATTGATTATTTGGTGGAGGCCGCTATTGGGTTGAGGCCATTGCTATTAGGTTGGAGGCCATTGCTATTAGGTTGGAAACCATCGCTACTAGGTTCACTTTGCAAAGCATAGTTGGCACGCACAATTTCACCCAATGCCTGTTGAGTTTTGAAGCCTTTGCAGTCGCCGATTTGCAGAGTGGGTTCAAATGGGGAATGCACACTGGCAAAGACTCCTCACTGCCGGTTGCCACAGCACGGTTGACATTCTTGTCTTAAACTGTAGACCACTGCGATGTTTGCTAAATTGCCATGGTTCAGAAGTGCAGTGTTTGTTGTTTTTCGTTGCATTTCGACGAAGTCTTTGAATTCGGATGCCTTGCACTCTGCTTTTGCCCATACAAGGCAGCTGCTCCAAGTATTTTGGTCGTTGCCCTGGCCAAAACCAATGAAACGTCAAGACCTACAACGACGATGAACACGCTAGACGGTAGTTTGTATTTTAATATCCCCGATGCTGCCGGCTATCTAAAATGTGTGTGGTCGACCACGGAAAACCCATTTCATTTAACTCATTTAGTTAAGAGAGTGGGACGCCACCAGGTCCCCCAAAATACGTGGTTTTCAGTGCTTTTTGAACCCATACATAATATGATTATTTATAAGATTGTTTACAGGTCTTATTCAAATATGCTATGTTGTATGTTGACGACGTAATATCATTATTATACCATATCTAAAGTCTTTCTCAATTTGTTCAGTTGTGGGTATTTAAAAGTATATAGTTCTTGATATTGTTTAGCCTTTGTTAATCCTCTTCTAATCATTGCATCAGCATATTGTTTCATAATCTTTGGTATTTGTCAGCTCCTGAACTGATTTTAGTTGTTTGGCATCCCAAATTGCTCCTATGTGGCTTTGCACTAAACACTCAAACCGATGAAATAGATTTGATCAATTGCTATGACATCAAATTATGAAAAACTAAATGGTTCCGTTTTAACATCACCAAAACTTATGCAAAAAATATTGTTTATTGGTATGGCCGGTATGGCATCACCTTCAAATTCGTGTAATAACCTATTAGTAGGGCATACAAAAAGTATTGTGTAGCCGTTATCAACCATTCTCTGGCAGATGTGACTTTTGTTTGCTCCTGCAAGTAATATCCTAATCATTACTGGTTCACTTTCTCAATTCTACTAACAATATCAGCAGTATCATACTCGTCATATTGAATTTCTCTATTTTTAGATTTTTATATAGATGTTAGTATTTCTACACTTTGATTTTCTACAACTTGGTAAAGTTCATTAGGTAATTTAATATCAACATACTGTACTTGCTCACTCTCCAGCCTCCAATCTTATTAATAAAATCCACTTCGTTGGCTTCTGTTCATCTTCAGCCTTGATGGTGAAAGCATCAATCTTAACACAGTATGCTGTAATACCAGCATGCTTCAGCTTAAAGTTTAAAGTAGTAGGCTTTATACATTCCAAAAATTGTGCAAACTGTTGTTTTAATGTAAAAGCACATTTTTTTGAACTTTTTTTAACTCTGCTCTACTAGACTTGGCCGGAGGCTCCAACTCTTTTTTCTTGAGAGGAGGGTCGACCGAAAAAATATACAAAATTATCCAACTCTCCTACATTTGCTGGAGTTTCTTCCTTGGGAGGGGGTCAAAAAAAAACACACACACACAAGTTATTTTTTGTTTCGGTCGACCCTGCTCCTGGAAGGCTCCTAATCTGCTACACTTGACGCTACACTTTACGGAAGTCAGTTGCTTGGGAGGGGGGTCGACCGGAAAAAAATTGGTCAACCCTCCTCCAGGCCTTTGTCAAAGGCTCCTAATACGGAAGTTAGTGTTATTTTTTTATCTACTACCCTTTGTTGAAAGCTTCTATTCTCATACAGTTTGCGGTGTTTTTATTTGAGATCAGCCAAAAACAACTGTTGCTAACATTGCTATTTGGATACCATGGCACTGAGAATTTGATACTTCTGTGGAATTGTTGCTGTATATAAAGATAATACAATGCATGTTTATAATTCACTGTATTTCCAGAAACGTGGAAAACGTGGGACCTGACAGCGTCCCTTTCTGTTAGTTAGTTAAAGGGCTATCTAAATTGGGTCTTCAACAAAATGGTTGGCACAGACAGATTTGCACACTTGTCACATTAGCCAGTTGTTTTAGATAACATTGTGAGAAAGTTGCTTTCTTTTTGCGCTTGTCAGATTTAATGCCTTTGGTGTGTGAAAGTAATTTTATTCAACCAATTTCATGATAAAATGAGGGGGTGAACTTCTATCGTCGGTAGCAACGGGTATGTTTTAGATTGTTTTAGTGTTTTTTAAATATGCTCTACAGTATGATTAGCATGATTTGGAAGGAAAGAAGCCGAAGCAGGATTGTGGCAATGGGAAAGGAGGACACAGACACAGTTGGCTTGGATGGTGTCTTCGAGAAAAACACAAAAACGCGGTGATTGAAGTTTGAAGATTATATAGAAAGGGCAAGACGGGGTCCTGGTATCATGACCTTGCTTGCTGGCCAGGAGCTCGTTGAGGCTGTGGTGAAGGAGATCAAGCAAAAAGAGGAGGTGCACCTTCTTGACTCCTTCGCAACCCCTGCTGTTCTTCTCGATCGTGGCTGCTAGGCTTTTGTTTGTGAGATCAAAAAGAAGGAGCAGGTGCAATCGTGACAAGCCCACATCCTTAAAGAACTTGAAGTCGATTGTTTTCAGGAGTTTGCCAGCGAGCTGCACAAAAAGGATGAGGCAAGTCACGATGATGGAATCAGCTGAATGCAACTCGCACACAACGTTTATGCTGTGGGCTGCAGGAGATTGCCAGATTGAAGGCACTACTTCAGAAATGAATTGTTTGCGGTGGGGGGCGCTTTTGTCCTTAAACCAGTGAATGTCCTCAAACACATTCAAGTACAGTATATAACTAAGTTGTTTGACATTCCATGTGATTGACCTCACGAAACCACCACAAAAGTGGAGACCTCACTTTAAAATAAGCGTCATTCAGTATGAATGACGATTGTTTTGTGGAAGCCGGTGTTTCAGCTTGTAGCTGCAGCTGCTCTCGTTCGGAGCAAACTGAGCTACAAGCCTATAGAGCTCGGCCTGCAGAATGTCTGAAGGCATTGCTGCTTTTTAAGGCGAGCTCAAGCATTTACCCCAGTCTTGAACTGCGGGATTTCAGCGACGGCATTGTCGACCATTGTGCACACGCAAAGTACGATAAAGATCAGCTCAGAGCAATGCCGCTCGTTCCACATCAGGGCGCGATGTGCCATAGTACAATACCAAAAAAAGAGCAAGGCATGTTGCACGTGCTGCCCACATGGTTGTTGCAATCTGTTGCTTGGAGAATTTGTAGCTTGACTTCCGTGGTGCAGAGCCTCACAGTTGCACTTTTGTAAAGAGCACCGTCAACAATCAAAGCGGAACGGGATGCAACAAGCAGCTTCAATCAAGGAGACAACCAAGCCTCACAGGTTTGCAGCACACACCGGCAAGTGAGTGATGACATGGCCGGATTGGAGCCCATGCTTCCCTTCTCCAAAGGAGGAAGGCCTGGCCAGATTGAAATGTGGTTGGAAGCAACCTATACATACATATATATATATATAATATATATATATATTTATACTTAACTTAAACGTGAAAAGCAGCGTGGTCCGTGACCGGCAAAATCTTGCTGTCCGGCAACCTCTATTGAGACACTTTGGCAGTTCCCAGCTGGAGTTGGAGCCCTTCCAGGTGAGGGCAAATGGTTACACGTCTACAGTACATGTTGTTCAAGCCCTTTTTCACGAGAGTCCTCATGATGTCGCTACAGGAGGGAACCTTGGGCACTTCGCAGGAAAAGCAATGCTGCCCAGGTTTTGTGCACCGATCTTGGCATTTGTGTCCAGGCAATGACACTAAATTTAATCATCACATGTTCAGGCTGTTTGTGTTCGAGTCATGGTTATAGTCATAGTGGGTCACGTTTTAAAGGTGTGCTTCGGATTCGTTGTTGGAAGAGTTGCTGTCCCCAATTGTGCTGCTTCTAAAACTCAACAAACAGACACCCCAAAATGTAGCAACCCCGGCTGAGGTCTGCTTGCAGCAATTTTTCGATCCAATACAACTACACATCTGCAAGGACTGACCGTGTCACAGCCTGTTCACTCGGAACCTTTGGCCATTTCAAGCAGGGCATCATTCGCAATGCAACTTAAGTTGCTTCTCAGTATAGCTGCGGCAATCATGTTGTCCGACAATGACAATATTGGCACAGCCGCCCTTGCCTAAGCTTTGCAGTGATGCTGAAACTAGTCTCAAGCCTGACCAGATCGTCGAAGCAACATGAAGGGGAGGAAGCAAGCGGAAGTAAGAGGAAGCAAGAGGCCAATAGGCATTTCTTTGCAACTAAGGTCAAACCGGATTTTCCACAACCTGCTTGGGAATCATCCTCAAGACATTTGCGTTTATATAGTCCAGGCTTACTCAAAGAAGTATCGGCTTGCTATGGAAGTACATGAGCATCTTGAGCCCGAGGTTGGCCATTATTTACTTGGCATCTTCCTTGGATAACGAGCACAGCATTGCACATGTCAAGTTCTTCTCGGCATGCTGAGGGGCAGTTTTCATGGGTTCCGTTGTTGGGATGCTGCTCATGGGGTCCAGCCGGCGTGTTTCGCATGTTTTGTCGAGAACCAGGTGATGAGAAATGATCAGGTACCTTGGTGATTTGTTGGGGATTCGCCCTGCACTCGTACTGATCTTAGTTTGAGCCACGCAAACACATGTAGAAGAGCTAGTGGCTCCAATATGAAGGTTTCGATTAAACCCACTGCTGTAGAGGGAGGCTTTGAGTCCCGCACTTGTTTCACATTGGTTTTGACACCAAGATTCTGGCAAATGGCTTGACGGCGATGGGAGCTTTGACTTCCTCGTTGCTTTCCTGGGGTGGGCAGTGTGCGCACATGGGGAGTTAGGCAATTTGTGGATTGGCAGGACCTCCGGACACTGTGTGGACAGTAATCATTGCAAGTCGCTTGCTTCTTGGAGTTGGTGCTTCGTCCTTAGAATGTTGTGAGAGACCACCCTTACGCATTGAAGTGGTCACTGAAACACAAAGACTGAGGTTGGTGGAAACTACCCGCTGAGTGCGGCTAAGGCAAAGAGTGTTGTTGCATGTTGTTGTGATTCTTACACGAACATGCCTTCTGCCTCAGGCTGCTGAATCTGGCAAAGACCTCCAGGCTCAATTCTTTGTTCAATTTCTATCGAAGGAGGACGGCATGTTGACACTCAGGTCAATGCAGCCGAGGCTGCAAACAAAGCTGCCTATGCCTTTTTCTGGCACGCCTCAAGTACAAATCATTTTTTGAGGAGGTCAAGCTTTTGTGCACTCTTTAACTTTAGTGCATGGCATGGTGACCTTTTCTGTCAGGCAAGGCCCTGGCCAATTGGCACCGTACATGTGCGTGCCTCGATTGAGATCAAGAGTTGAATTTGGCTCTGAATTTTCTCAGGGTGGCACTTCCTCTCCTGTGCTTGCGGGGTGAGGCAAAGCATTCAAGCACCTTCTTGCTATGATTGAAGTAGAGCAAGGGTAGTTCATCCGGTGAAGAAGTTTCGAAGAGAAAGTTCCGAGTTACAAAAAGTTGCAGTCGCGTGCATGATGGTGGGTATGTAGTATGTGTCAGTGTCAGGGACCCAAAAGAGAGTCGTGCAAAAGCGTGCGTTTCCACAGTATCCGCTCAACTTGATGGTTTGGAGATGCCTCGAAACGATCAGCAATCCCTCGCATGTAGTAGCATGCCAATGGACTCAAACTTAGAATGCCTTTTCGAAGATTGAAAGCCCCGTGGGAAGAGTTCTCCCGCGCTGTGCACCGTGCAAGCCAACAACGGTTGACGGCTCAGCATCCATCTCAAACCTCAAGCGGACTCGAGTCAGAGCACAGCGAATTCTTCAATGGTCTAAGTATATGCTTGCTTCATTTCCTAAGTTCCAGTCCGCCAGTGTGGATCCTCACCTCAATATGTGTGTGTATAATATATATATATATGAAACCCTGGGAATCGCAGGGAACTTTTTCACTTGCATAGCAGGGGGATCACCCACGGGCTTGACTTGCAACGAAGAGGGTCAAGCTCCGTGCTGACATCTGGCCTGATCAGCCAGATGTACCCGCAGTGATTACAGTACCATTTATTTCCTCTTGGGCCCCTTTGTCACTAGAACAAGTCGTTGGCCATTGCATCGGGTTGAGATCTGCAGACAAGTGCTCGCCGTTCTTTCAGACTTTGAGGTTTTCAATTTCACTCATGGTCAAACCGTCTTACACACTACTTGTACCCTGGCTTCTTAGGCTTTCATACCCAGGTGGGCGTCTGGCATGTGGCAGTCGTTTTCAGTACGCAATATCTCGAGTGTGTCTGGCTTCGTGCCAGCCCGGGGTGAGTCCGAGGAGTGCGCCCCGTGGCCCCGTCGAACAAGGGCTTGTTCCCTGCGCCCGGTAGCAGAGCAGCTCGCAGCGAGCGTAGGGGGCTTATGCCAAAAGTCAATTAATTAAGGCCTGTTGGATTACATGAACATAAGCAGGCAGCCCTCGAGCAAGCCATGAGGTGCCCAGAGCGGACCAAAGTTGCCAGCCACTTTGGCAAGGTAGGAGTAGACGCAACGGTCGTCCCGACCTTAACTGCACGTACGGAGCGCACATGCCAAACTAAGCTTGGTCTTCCTAGGTTCTCTTAAAGAGGTTTGGCTTCGTTGTTTTCCGACCCTTCCATTTGGTTCCCCCTTTCATCCTTTCCCCTTTACACGTGTTTTTCCTTTTTCGCTTCATGTCTCTCTGTCTTCATGTCTTGGCACCTCATCCCTTTTCTCTCTTGCGCACACATTTGTCCGGCCGTATACTTGCACTTGAAGCCCAGGCTTGAGGTCGCCCGGGTGAATACAAGGAGGCATCCGTTTTCCCTGGTCGCTTGTGTCCCTCAACCAGGGTGGTTGTGCATGAACACTGTTTCAAATAGAATACATGATATACAAACAATTCTATATATAGTACAAATTCAACAATACATAGTATGGTACATAGTATAGTGCAACATAGGTAAACTGATAGCGAGGCTGTGCATCGAATTATATATATAATAATATAGTCGTGATTTCAAACACATTCCGTAGACAAAAAAACGGAAAAACAACCAGAGCCGCAATCATTGAGCTGTGAAGCCGCGTAGAGACCCTTCGCGGGACCATGCGAGCCCCCTTCTGTTTTCTGAGAGCTGGTTCACACAACGGTTTCTTTTTGGCAAGGGTCGGCTTGAAAGAGCTTCTCTCTACCAAGAGCTCAAGGGTGTGTACTTGCGTGGTTACGCAACTCATGCACGGACAGCCCAAGACATCGTACTGTCCAGATGTGTTTTGTGGCATGTTGCGACTTTGTTGAGGTACTTGAATTTTTTCCAACGCCTCGTATTTTTTGCAGCTGTTTTTTTCTGAAAGATGGCTTGGGAAGGCGTCAATGATACTACATTCATGGACTTTCTAAAGGGAAACTTCGTAGTTGCAAACAGTGGCAGTTGCGTGTGCATCATCACGGGTGGTAAGTAAGGTCCTGGTTGGAGGAGGAGGGGGGCGGAATTGTTGCGGGCACGTGGTGTGCGCTCGCTTGATTCAAAACGCATTGTAATGACTGCGTCGATGGAGATTTCTGGAGACAAGGACAGATAGACAAGCGATGACAAGTGTAGAACAGTAGATGTTTCTAGAGAATGATACTTTAGAGTGTTGACAAATATAACCCCACGGCCAGACGATGTAAAACCATTCTGGTAGCCGGGGTTTAAGAACCAACAGTCGCCAGTAAGTGTTTCTAGAGAAAGCTCAGAAGGGTCTAGAAAAGTAGAGTTAATATTGTTAATACAAATCACCACATCGCAGTCCACCACCCTACACTTTACTACTGCTACGATACAAATTGCTACTTTACACGTCACTACCTTCAGGACAAGAATGAGGATGTTGGTCCTTTGGCCACGTTCAATGACCATGTCGACACACCAGGTTTCGAATTGCTGCTGCGTTGACAAATGCAGGCTCTCGCCAGGCTGGCCACTACACGGCCTGGCTCAAGAACGAGGGCCCGGCCATGTCGTTGACCACGGATGACAACCACAAAGCAGAGCTGAGCAGCATGTCCTCACGTGTGCTGAGTGATGCCTGCCTCCTCTTCCTATGCCGTGATTCCATTGTGGATCCGGAAAGTGAACCTACGGATGATGCCGCGACGCTCTCGTCTAGCGGGTGGACACATTTTTTCTGTCATCTTTGTGTCTAATAGCGATGGCCTCCAACAAATCACTGCATGACACTTCACAGCAAAAAGATCATCACACAACACCACGTCACAAATCCCCGCAAGCGACTTCAAAAAGAACAGGTCACCACTCACCGCAGCGCAAATCACCAGACCCCACTTCAGTTCTCGAAATGACACCAAACGGTCCCTATAGCTTATGTTTGTTGAAAGTTCTGCCCTTGGCCGAGTTTACCTGGTGAAGAAACATATGAAGTGTTCTGGTGGCTCAGGCGATCACCTCCTTACAATTCCGTTTCCTCCTTGGTATCGGAGCTGTGCCTGCTGGAGTGGTATCCTGGAACATGGCCACCCTGCTTTTGAGAATGAGGCAGTTAGGAGCTAGAGCAAGAGGAAAAGGACACCAAGGTTAAATTGCAAAGGCAGGAAACGCTATGCTTGGTGTAGACGAGGTACTGCTTCGCTCCTGGCAAGAGGACCGGGTGAAAGCAGATGTACAGTAGGGATCCGGAATCAGTCTGTTTTCCAGTCATTATTGAGCACAAAAGGGCGAGACAGTCAATTCGTGGTTCCAGCATCCAATGCAGTTCACAGCGTTCAATATCTAAAGATTGATTTCAATACTGTCAGAACCAGCACGGCTGAGGAGAGCTCACCACGTTTGAATGCTCTAGTATCATACTTGGTACATTTAGCAGACCGCATTTTGGAGGAAACCAACTCGTCCCGGCTGTCTGAGGATGAGAGCATCGATAGGCGCAAGCCTCTCAGTGACGAAGCAAACAAAGCGGTACTACGGTACTGCTATCAGTTTTTCAACATGTTTCAACTTCCTAGAAGACTGTGCCAATCCATCAGGGGCTGAGCTTCGAAACCGACGACACTGGTGGACTCTGATTGGCATGAACCTTATGACCTAGGAAATTTGGGAGAGTGTCTTAACCTTCGGCACTCTCTTGTTGACGCCTTGCAAAGAGATTGACCGAGTGTCGGTGGAACTGCGTATTCTGGATGTGTTCGGTCATCATGGGATTGGACTCTTTAGAAGCAAGTGCCATCAAAGAGGCCATGTAACCATTAATCTATTTCTATTCTGAATCAACTTCTGAAGGTCCATCCATGAGTTTGTGTTGCGAAGCAAGTGTTTGGTCATCAATTCTAACCCCACCCCTCATTTATGCCCTCAAGATGAGCAGATCATCACACCTATCGGATCTGCAGCAATCATTGGATCAGCAACTCTCGGATCAGCCGATCGTCGGATCAATGATCAATGGATCACCGGATCACCGAGTCCATCAAAACATTGAATCCATTTGATTTGCAGCGGATCACCAGGATCGGGTGAGCGGATGCTCGGATTATCGGATCGATCAAATGTGCAGTGGAGGCAAATTGTAGATCGGATCAGCGAGCTGGTCAACGGATCAGACCATCGCACCAGTGGCTCATCAGACAGCAGATCATCGGATTGCCGGATTCAGCGGGTCCTTGGATTAGCGGTTCACGGATCATCGTCGTACCAGAAAATCATCAGTGGATCATCGGATATCATCGTGCCAGCGAATCAGCGGATTGGATCTCGAAATTGTTGGGCCATACAATCAACAGATCGCCGGAGTGTTGGAACCTGTAACTCGCTTTTCTATCTCCTGCAGCGCCTTCTTGATTCCCGACCCTTCGTGTTTCCCTTCTTACTCAAGTGATGGATTCAGAAACACATGGCACATGTTTCTCTCAAGCACGGCTTTTTGTTTCCAAGGTACTGCAGGCTCCTGGTTCTTCTTTGATGTTGCCTTTTACGGAACGGTGCTCCCCTCGACCTGGCATTTTTGGTTTAGTGCGAAAGCTGTTTCCTGGTTCACAAACCTAAACACATTTCAGCCGACGTAGCCATATCAACCTCAATGGCCACGCCAATTTAGATCGTGTTTGCGGTGTCCATTTGTGCTGCGTGGCGCTTTGTGGCTAACAGCCATGGAGGGTGGGGATTGTGCGGAGTGGTGCCTTGTCAGATCATTGTAAAATGGTAAGTAAGCTGGTAATGTATAGGACGCTACTAGGGGCTCCTGGCCTTAGTACTAGGAGCAAGAAGTTACTAGGGGCTCCTGGCATCGCTACTAGGAGCAAGGACGCTACTAGGACACAGTAGAGCGAATGGAGCGAATGTTTTCGCCTTCACCTTTGTGGGGCACCCGATTCTCAAGGTTCTTCATAGGAACGGCAGAAGAGGTCGGCACGTGACATGGCTGCAATGGTCCTATGTCACCTCTTTCCTAAGCGCAAACCGTCAGTACTTGTTGCAGATTTGGTGTTTGGCCTCCTGGCCTGGTTTGGTGGATTGTTGATTTGCTTCTGTAGCCAGATGACTTTCTCATTTGCCTTGAGGCAGACTTTGAGCGTAGATGTGCAAAAGACTACCAGTGCCACGCAGACAGAGGCAAGTGGTAGTTGGTCCTTGTCTTGGTCTCACACCCTTTGTTCGTCAGAGGGGGTGGGCAGAGGGGTGGAGGCGAGCACACTGTTAATATACTGTAGAAATACACTAATAATATCATAATATATATATAATTATAGATAATAGATATCATTATATCATCTTGGTGTATTTGCTTGAAATCAATTCCACCAGTTTGTCACCATATCAAGAATGATAATGTGTTGGCTTCAGTCATTGCTTTCAAATATGTTTAATGGAACTGCAAAGACAACCAAAAACCAAAAGCCTTGAGAACGCAAAAATAAGCTTTTCACCCCATGTCTTGTGCTTAGCTAAACTAAAACTTTCGTCCAACCCCCTGTTCTCGGGTGCCATCTCAAAAGCATATTAAGTGTGTCATGGCACTTGCAAAGCTTCTTTAAAAGCAAAATAGGCTATTGACGTTTGATTGTTTTCCCGATGCATTTTTTACAATGTATGTGCCATATTGTTTTGCACGTGGTCGCCGAAAAATATGTTGATAACTCTTTCAAAACCAATTGCACATGTGTATTTAAAGTTTGTGTCCACTTAATGCCACTTAAAATCCATTGCAGAAACGTTTTCAACATCAACTAGTATATTGATTGGTGTTCAGTGTGTTTGTCAACAACTGCTTAAGAATCTGTCAACCAATTAATAAATTAGGGTAACGAGTAATTAGTGATGTTTAAGTACAAAAACCAGCTGATAGGCTAGGCTGAAGCGAACGAAGTGGGTATTGGGGGCCCGATAGGGGAGAGCGAGCAAAAGGGGGTGGCCAAAATGCACCTGGCGAGTGATGCCAAAGAGGTGCAAAATAGCTTCTTTTGCATCACCAAATTGCAATGATACCAAGTGTGACGGTGCCCTTTTCAGTCGCTTTGTCAAAGGCTTTGGGGAGGAAAACGAGCACCAGCAAAGGAGCATTATGATCTGGCCGTAAAGAAAATATATAAGCTGAAAGACTATGCTTCCTCTGCTGTGAAGACAATCTACCTTGGCAAGCCTAGTACATAAAAGAGCCGCATGGACGGTCGGACCGCAGGAATGCAGATAACAGTTCCCAGTTACGGACACCATGATCTTGCTCACTTCACTTCGTTCTTGTTCTTCTCAGTGTCTACGAGGGCTGGCTTTCGTCCCCTCCCGTTTGTACTCAGGTAAGTTGAGTTTATTGGTGTTCAATGTGTCCTCCAACTTCAGTTCTTTTGGCCGATGATCAATATGAACTAGAACTTTGCTCGGGTGTCCAAATCAAATCGATTTTTAGTCCTTCCTAAAATCAATTATACAATGTCTTTTGATGTAAGAAAAGTCCAAACACGATATGAATTTAATTTATAAATATATGTCTTTGTATAATCATGTCCCTTTCAAAAAACCTGCTCAAAATAACTGAACATCTTGCACATTGTTTCTAGTATGTGAAGCAACAGCCTTAAATCAATGAAGTGAGTTGTGTTGTTCTAGTAACCCGGATAAGGGCATTCGTTTGTTATGAAAGGCAGATCAGACAACGAAGAAATGTCAGATACAGTAAGCTCACAACTAAAAGAAAAAGTCTCAACTCTTTACATGTACAAAAGACGAGTCAAGGCCAAATTTAAGTTTTGTCCAACTCCACCCCCCGCACCACTACCGGTTCTATTTTTTTTTGCTTGCAAAACGTCACAAATATATAGTTGGTGTGATCTCTTGCAGAACATGCAATATGCAGTTGCTGAACAATTGTTAGGTAGCGGCAACGGTGATCGAAGCGGCTAGCCTGGATCAAGGCAAGCCTGGGAGGTGAACAACATTGAACAACCAACGGCAACCAACCCCTTCGTTCCGTTTTTACTGGCGAGCTTCACGCAAACTGTAGGAGGTCGCGCTCTATGGTGGATGCTGAGTTTCGGTGGTTTTCTTGCAGTGGCAGGACACTATAGTCATTCGACTCTAGATCACAAGCACCACTTTTGATGATTGCTTTCGGGCACGCAGGAGCCGTCACATACTTATACCAGAGAAAGACTGCAGGCAGAATTGTCTATTTGTCCGATTGACTTTGAAATTTGGTTTCACTGAATACCGATCATAAACTGGATTCCTGGCAAGCCTGGCAAGCATGCCAATCGAGGCGCAAACCCTGACCGACCTCGGACAGCTGAAGAGACAGTTCAAGAAGGTGAATCTCAGACAAATTCGTTCAAGTGACGCAGCACAGTGATAGCAATGGCTGCCAGGCACTCAAGAAGTTGCCAAGTTTGAGGAACCCGTAGCAGACAAGCAACAGCAGATCTCCCTGAAGGAGAAGGCAAGAGCTTGCAACTCCTACCGACCGTCAATTAGCAACAGTAAGAACGGCTTTACGAGTGCAGGACTGGCTTGGTGCTATGCCAACATTGCCTGCTCTGGAATCCTGGCATTGGCCAAGTGGTAGTGGAAGCCACGGACAAAGCATTAAAAAGGAGTCCAGTAGCCAAAGCTGTGTTTTGGTGAAACCAAGGAGCCATTTGTCGCACCAGCAAAGCAGTCGCAAATCCAAGCGTACGGCCCCAAGCCCTCGCAGCACTAGCGCCCTGATCCATGCACGTTCTTTCATTCGTGCTCAGGCCTGGACCCAACCTTCAGCCGAATGAAAGATATGAAAGTTTGCCACGAAACCAAGATCAAGTTATGCCCACGGCAGAAGCTGATATGAAAGAGGAAGCAGCTGTATGTCAGCAGAAGACAAGTCCCTGGTTTCACATTGATGCCACTGTGTTGAGTTAACGACATTGGAAGCAAAGTGGTAGCTGTGCAGGATACTCTTAATCAGAAGATGGCACGCCCGCCGAGCTTGAGAGCCGCAAGATCCAAGAATTGAAGATGATACAATGGCTCCAACCTACTAGCGATGGCCTCCATCCTAATCAACCTACTAGCGATGG